GATTGTTTCCTATCTCACATTCAGGCCCTTCATCCATTTTGCATTTATCTTTGTGAATGGTGTAAGAAAGTGGTCTAGTTTCATTCTTCTGCATGTTGCTGTCCAGTTCTCTCACCACCATTTGTTAAAGAGACTGTCTTTTTTTCCATTGGATATTCTTTCCTGCTTTGTCAAAGATTAGTTGGCCATACTTTTGTGAGTCCAATTCTGTAGTCTCTATTCTATTCCATTCATCTATGTATCTGTTTTTGTGCCAATACTATGCTGTCTTGATGATTACAACTTTGTAGTTGAGGCTAAAGTCTGGGATTGCGATGCCTCCCTCTTTGGTTCTCTTCTTCAACATTACTTTGGTTATTCGGGGTATTTTGTGGTTCCATACAAATTTTAGGATTGCTTGTTCTAGCTTCGAGAAGAATGCTGGTGCAATTTTGATTGGGATTGCACTGAATGTGCAGATAGCTTTGGGTAGTATTGACATTTTAACAATATTTATTGTTCCAATCCATGAGCACAGAATATTTTTCCATTTCTTTGTATCTTCTTCAATTTCCTTCATAAGCTTTCTATAGTTTTCAGCATACAGATCTTTTACACCTTTGGTTAGGTTTATTCCTAGGTTTTATGCTTCTTGGTGCAATTGTGAATGGGATCAGTTTCTTTATTTGTCTTTCTGTTGCTTCATTATTAGTGTATAAGAATGCAACTGATTTCTGTACATTGATTTTGTATCCTGCGACTTTGCTGAATTCGTGTATCAGTTCTAGCAGACTTTGGGTGGAGTCTATCGGGTTTTCCATGTATGATATCATGTCATCTGCAAAAAGTGAAGCTTAGAGAAGTCCTTTATATTTGTACATGTAAGGGGAAATTTCTTGGCCTTGAGCTGAAAGTCAATTTCCAAAAGAAATCACTATTAATCAACCAACTCTCCAATTTAAAAAACCCTAAATGAAAACAGACCGCTATCATGCAGAGGTGGTTCAGTTTTGTTCTCTATTGTTATTTTTTGACTGAAGTATACTAGATATACAACATTCTATTATTTTGAGCTGTACAACACAATATTTCAACATTTGTATGCATTGAAAAATTATCACCACAGTAAGTCTAGTTACTGTGTGTCACCATATAAAATTCCAAGTTTTTTTCTTATAATAGGAAACTTTATGATTTACTTTCTTAGCATATTTCAAATTTGCAATACAATATTATTCACTATATTCACTATGCTATATATCACATCCCCATGACCTATTTATTTTATAATTAAACATTTGTACCTCTTGATCCTCTTCACTCATTTTACTCAAGGCCCAAATCCCTGCCTTTTGGCAACCACCAATCTATTCTCTGTATTTGTGAGTTTTGTTTTGCTTTGCTTTGTTCATTTTTTTGTTTACTCCACATGTAAATGAAATAATATGGTATTTGTCTTTCTCTGTCTTACTTCAGTTAGCATAATACCCTCTAGGCCCATCTGTATTGTCACAAATAGCAATATTTCATGTTTTTTCATGGTTGAGTCATATGCCTGTGTGTGTGTGTGTGTGTGTGTGTGTGTGTGTGTGTGTGTGAATGTACCACGTCTTCTTTATCCACTTATCCATTGTTTTGGACACTTAGGTTGTTTCTATACCTTGGCTATTATGTGAATAATGTTGCAATGAACATAGGGTGCATATATCTTTTTGAGTTATTATTTTTTATTTCCTTTGCATAAATACCCATAAGTGGAATTGCTGGATCATATGGTAGTTCTATTTTCAATTTTTTTAGGAACCTCCATACTGTTTTCCATAGTGATTGCACCAATTTACATTCCCACCAACAGTGCACAAGGGTTCTCTTTTCTCCACATTCTCACCAACACTATGATCTTTTTGATCACAGCCATTCTAACAAGTGTGAGGGGACATCTCATTGTGGTTTTGTTTGCATTTCCCTGGTAATGACTGCTATTGACAATCTTTTCATGAGCCTATTGACCTTCTGCATGTCTTCTTTGGGAAAAAAAAATCTATTCCTATCTTATGTCCATTTTTTAATCAGATTTTTTTTGTTATTGAATTGTATGTGTTCCGTATATATTTTGGATATTGGCCCCTTACCAGGTATACAGTTTATAAATATTTTCTTCCATTAAGTATATTGCCTTTTTTATTTTGTTGACAGTTTCCTTTACTATGCAGAAACTTCTTAGTTTGATGTAGTCCCATTTGCTTATTTTTGCTTTTGCTGCCATTGTCTTTGGAGCCAGATTTAAAAAAATATTGCCAAGAGTGATGTCAAGGAGCTTACTGTCTATATTTTCTTCTAGGATTATTATGGCTTATGGTCTTACATTCAAGTCTTTAATCCATTTTGAGTGAATTTTTGTGTATGCTGCAAAACAGTGATCCAATTTAATTCTTTTTCACGTGGCTGTCTGCCCTGTTTTCTGAGCACCATTTATAGAAGAGACTGTCATTTCTCCTCTGTTGTTGTCTTTTGAGCACTTAAAATTATGAAACAAATTCAGATCTATAACACTTCTCAACTCTGGTTTGATAGCCCTTTAGCCTAACAGTGCCCTCTTCTGGTTTTATGATTCACATTCACCTATTTCATCTGTGTTAAAAACATAACAAAACAAAACAAAACAAAAGCTTAACTGTTAATGGAAAAAATGATGGGTAAAGGTCATTTTGAAACCTAGCTGTAAAAGGCTTTGGCTTTCCATTTTAACATAACAAAAACAAACAAAAATCCAGTTGGGAGTACAATGGTGGTTACCAAGGACTGGGGAAAGGGGAAAAGGGGAAGGCACTGTTTAATGAGTATGAAAAAATTCTGGAGATTGGTTGTACAACACTGTGAATATACTTAACACAACTAAACTATACATTTAAAAATGATAAAAATGATAAACTTTGTGATTTTTTACCACAATTAAAAATAAAAATAAATAAATCCAGTTGAGGTATAAATAGTCCAGGTTGATGGCAGCAGCTTAAGTTGGAACTGTTTTCACAAGTCAAATGTTTACCATAAATCAAACACACCTGGATTTGATATAATTTTTAATTCCTGTCATTTTACTAAAATGGGCAATGTTTATCTTAATTTACTAAAACTATAGCTATAAAACAACTTAATTTCAACTTTTACTCTTAAAGTCTTTCATCTTGCAGATAATAAAATATTCTGCAGTACAAAAAAAATAACAGTAAGGTTTGACTTATTCAAATGGGTATAAGGGATAACATTCACTGAAATAAAGAAGACTAGGGAAGGAGCAAGTTTGGAGGGTTGGGATAAACCAATGGTTCTAAGAGGGGATGATTTTGCCTTCTGAGGGACATTTGGGAGCGTCTGGAGACATTTTTGTTTTTCACAGTTGGGAGTGGTATGGAGGTGCTACTGATGTATGTTGATATACTGCTAAACATCCTACAATGCACAGGGCAGTCCCCCACCACAAAGAGTGATCTGGCCTCAAATGTCAGTAGTGCCAAGAGTGAGTAACCCTAAATTAGAATCCTTTCCTCTGACTTTAGCCTCTGTTTCTCAGGCTTTGCAGCAGTTTATTCTTCTTCTGTCTATAATTACACAGTATTCTGTCTTTGGCTGACTTCCTTTTTCCTCTATATTTTCTCTTGAGGATACCATCTATTCCCATGACATCACCTACCAGGTCTATGTTAGTGACTCCCACATCTGTTAAGTCTAGTCCCAACTACTTTTCTAAATCTAGAGCATTGTTTCTCTTAATTTCCCTTCACATGTTTTCACTAACCCACTGCTACAATATTTTTATTAGTGGCATCTGGTAGAAAACCACAGGGTCACTTATTTCCTAAACATTTACTGAGTATCTAGTTTGTGTAAAGGGCTGCACTGGTACTTAGAGGAAGGTAGTGATGGTGGAAATGAGAGGCAATCATGGTTAATAAGTACTTTAAATGCATGATCCCTAATTATGGCAATAGTTCTACAAGGAAGAAATTACTATTTCCTGGAAACCATAGCTCTAAATGTTTAATCGGCTACTTAAATATCACAGGGCTTGTAAGTAACAGAGTATTTTAAAAGTCAGTTCTATTTTGACATTAAGGATTGAACTCTTTCCATTAAAAAACACTGAGGACAGTGCTGTAAAACCGTGGTCTATTTTGTACATAGCCAAAGGGGAATGGATGTGAATGCTGAAGGTCTAAGAAGTTCCAGTAGCCTTTTCTTCTAAGCCATATCACACCCATTTCTTACCATATATCATATATATATATCATATATCTTATTACCATATATCATTGAATATAATACACCAGTAGTAAGACGAATTATTATTTTCCATTACTCTAAGAAAACAAAAACTTTGCCCATTAAAGTATGGCATTCCATCGAGATTTAGATTTATTAACTGAGATTTTATAGATGTTGAAACATTAAAAATTATTAGACATTTTAAAAAGTAAGCCTTCAGAGATTTCTAATTTGTTAAAATATGAAGAAAAGTGTAACCCTACATTCTAAGACATACGGCGAATTTATTTTCCACATTCAATTACCATGTTTAATGCTAGTGTGCTATTTTGCACTTTAGTCAACTACCATGTTTGCAATTGCTTTTCAAATTGTCCTAGGTAGTTTAATGGCTCTGTGTTACATAGCTGCAACTCGGTAGTAAAGCCCTTAGCTTTTCAATAATGTCTTTGTTCTCCCCCTCCCGCCACCTGCGCCCCTTACCCCCCATTCCAACCCTCCGCGCCTTTCCACAATCTATGCAGAGTTCACCAATTAGGAATAAACCTGGATTTCTTCTAATCTTAAAATTGCATAGATTGTGTAACACAGAACATAGATTTAGTTACATTTAGGGGGACGGACGGTGGTAAAACATTATATGTTAAATATACATGTCTTTTTAAGACCCACCCTTATAGAACGTTAAAATAGGGTGGAGTAAGGAGGGGAGGGCGGGCGGAGAAGGGATATGCGTTTCAGGATACAGGAAATACGGTAAGCGCGAAACCCGGAGGAAGCTCTGTGCCTGGAGGGGACCCGCCGCCATCTCAGGTCTCAGCCTCGCGGGGCCCACCACAGAGAGCTGACGCCCTGTCCTAAGAATCCTTATGGGTGACCAACCTTGTTTCTCCGGGAGATCCACGCTCCCACCTGGAAACACGCGGGAAACCAGGCCTCCAAAAAAGCGCTGCCTCCTAGCTCCACGGTGGGATTATCCAGAGGGAACCCCCAACGGAGGTAGTACCACTCTTCCCTCTGCACCTTCTCCTGCATCACCCGGCCTGAAGTCGCACCCTCCTCCTCCGGAGAAGTAGTAGAATGTACTTCTCCCACCCAAACCAGGTCAGATTCTTTCCTTCTCATCTGGGACATCCAGGCTCTTTGCAACTTAATTATGCACTTTCCCAGATCTCCTTCCCCTTTTCTCTATTCCCAGGATTTCATAATAGAAAAACACAGTAAACAAACAAAAACCATACTGGCATTGAGTAGCTCTTTCACAAAATATGCTTGGGCAAAATTATGGATATTGAATGACATTAAGTAAATTATTTTTGATATTTTAGCTGTGATAATTGTTATATTTTTTTAAGAAATAGATTTAAATCTCTTGATGTTTAAAAGTAATTCAGTGGGGCGGAAGTGGGAGTTACAAACAAAATGTTCATGAGTTGATGATAACTGGGTGATGTATACATGGAAATTCATTATACTGTTCTACTACTTTTGTGTATATTTGAAACTTTTCCATTGAAAAGAAAATCCTTGGTTCAAGATCAGTAACAACATATGGAAGGCCTCATTCCTATGCTAACAGGCTCAATTCCTGTGCTAACGGAGGGTATTTTGAAGTGTCTTCAGGAGTGGGTTTCTCTGTATGTAGCAGGAAAATTTAATAAGTAAAAACAAACAAACAAACAAAAAAAACAGTATGGTAAGTTAAACCCAAGGGCCATAATGTTTGTTTGTTCAAGGTATGCAGGGATCACCCAGGATGGACAAAGTCATTCTGCTTGGTAGTAATCATGACCCATCAAAAAGGAAAGGGGAAATTTGGGTGGTTCTTTAAAGGGTGAGTGACATCTGGCATGTGGAAGGGGAGAGAATGCTTTTCAGGCCTGGTGTTTTCAGGACAAAAGTCCCAAAGTGGGCTTATGGGAAAAGCTTGGGTGTAATTCTGAATCTTTGAGAAAGAAGGACTTGGAAGTGCAATAGAGTGTTGCAAGGCCTTGAATGTTACGCTAAGGAGTATGCAGTTTAATCTAAAAGCAGTGGTAACCATTGAAGATTTTCAATCAAGTGATATATTTTAGGAATCCAGTTTTTACCATCAGAGAAACAGTCTTCTATTTAGAAGACTTTATGGAATGCAAAAAATAAAACCAAATCTGACCCAAGGCTCACAGGTCCTTGTAATCCAAAGGAAGCAGGGCATCCTTTTTTCATTCATACAGTAAACCCTTTTGGAACTCTTGCAATGGACAAGGCATTGTGCTGGGAGCTGTAGGGAATGGATGAGCAAGGCATAGTGCCTGGTACATAGTTGGAGTGAAACAGATACTTGAATAAATAAGTCAATAAATGCTAGGTTAACAGTGGCAACCAAGGAGGCTCTGGACTTGGGACTTGGTAACAGTGCATAGAAAAAGAATGAGCTTTTTTGCTTGAAAGCATCTTCCAGTCATTCCTTTACACTCTGATTTCCATCATTTTTACCTCAATGTACAAAAGGGTAGTGCTGGTAGAGGTTAGGGCATAGGGATAGCAGTGCTCATGTAGAAAACCAAGGATGTTGTGCAGGGAAAAAACTGCAAGAGCTACATAATTTCATCTAGTGATTCAAATCATTGAAAATTGTAATATAGCATATATTTACTGAACATTTTTTATGTGCCAGACACTGTTCTAAGGGGCTTCTAGAATCCACACTCTTAATTTGCAATAGACCCCTTCTAATATGATCTATATAATTGTTTTACAGGAATATATAATAGAAATGGGAGCACGGTGGAACATAAGGACTTGAGGAGGCCAGGGGAAAGAAATGTCCAAAAACAGAGGAAATAATTTTACCTTATTTTACTATCTTTTAGTCTCTGAGGGATTGCAGAATGACTCCATTTCCTTGGTGCATTCATAAAATGGTTCACCCTGTGAAGATGATGAAGACTATTGACAATGCTGCCCTGATTTTTCTGATGTCCTATACCAGGTAATTGTGTTTTTTAAGGTACTTTCTTTACCAAAAACTTATTAAGGGAGGAAGAGGAATAAGAGTTGTAAAAATAAATAGCCAAACAAAAAACAAAGCTAGCACAAAATGGTAAAATTGAAACTATTTTCTACATTTTATAAAACCATACATACCATATAATAATAATGTAATTTATAAGCTGCTTTGTTAAATTCACTCCTAATTTACCTTATAGTTTTTGTTGTTAGTGTGAAATGTATTTAAATTTTTTTTAATGTTTATTTATTTTTGAGAGAGAGAGACACAGAGTACAAGTGGGGGCAGGGTCAAAGAGAGCGGGAGACACAGAATCTGAAGCAGGCTTCAGGCTCTGAGCTGTCAGTACAGAGCCCGTTGTGGAGCTTGAACTCAGGACTGGTGAGATCAGATCTGAGCTGAGGTCGGATGCTTAACTGACTGAGCCACCCAGGCATCCCTGAAATGTATTTTTAAAACCAGATTTTCTGATTTTTGCTGGTAAATGGGAACATGATTGATATTTTTACATATTGATTTTATATGCTACAGATTCTCTGAGTTTTGTTCTGATAATTTATAGATTCTCTTAGATTGTCTATTAGCTATGTTGTGAATAATGGCAGTTTCTTTCTTTCAATATTTGTTTTTTAGCTTGTCTTACTGTGCTGGTTAGGACTTTCAGTACAATGAGAAATAGTAGCAATAGGAGATTTTCTTACCTTGCTTTTGAATTTACAGGGGAATTCTATAAATGTTTCACCAGTTTTAGTAGATTTGCTTCTTCAGGATAAGGCAGTTTGTTTCTATTCTTAGTATGCTGAGAGCTTTAATTCTGAATGAATATGGAGTTTTTTCTCCATTAATATGACAGTGTGACCATGTGACAAATTACTATAATTAGTTTTCTAATCTGTTTCCTGCTTTTGGTTTCATCAGGCCTCACCATTGAATACTTTGTTTCCTACTTTAATAATTTTTGCTTTTATCTTTATTATTACCTTTTTTACTTGCTAATTTTCTAATTTATTTATTTGGACCTTTACCCAGTAATTTTCAATCTTCTTTTCTAAAATAAGAATTTATGATTATACATCTTCCACTCTGTACAACTTCAGAATTTCACAGATTTATATATGTATTTTACTATCATTCAATTATAATTTCCCTCATTTCTGTTTTGACTCATGAGTTGTTTAATTTACAAACATGAGTCTATTTTTTAAAAATCATATTGTGAAATCATTAGTCCAATTACAGTTAACTTCATCTGGTTTTCTTTTTTAAAGTTGTTTTTTTTTTTATCTTTCTTATAAGACAAAGCAAAATTATATACCAGCTTCTCATTTCAACACATTTGGCCATATAAAACTTTTTCTTTCATTACATACATAGAAATGCATGTGCATGCTATTCAATGATGGAGTTATTCCTGATACATATATTTATGTTTTAAAAAATTTGTTTTAATGTTTATTTTTGAGAGAGAGAGACAGAGTGTGAGCGGGGGAGGGCAGAGAGAGAGGGAGACAAGGATTCCAAAGCAGGCTTCAGGTTCTGAGCTGTCAGCATGGAGCCCGATGAGGGGCTCAAATCTGAGCTGAAGTCAGACGCTTAACCTACTATATTTTTGTTTTTTAAAACTTTTCATTTTGATCTCATTTTACACTTTAAAAAATTTTGAGAATATTACAAAGAACTCCCGTATACCCTTAACCCAGATTCACCAATTAACATTTTCCCATACTTGGTTTTTCATTCTCTATTTCTCCCTCTCATACCTCTTCTCCTTCTCCCTTCCTTTTTTCCTCCCCCCCTTCTCCTCTCCCCTACCTCTCCTTTTCTGCCTTTCTCCCTCTTCCTCTGAACTATTTAAGAATAACTTGTAGATATCATGCTTCTTGACTGGTAAATACTTCAGTACCTGTAAATACGTCAGTGCATATTTCTTCAGAAAGATAACCTTACATAAGGTTATACATAACCTTACATAACCTCACTACATGTGTCAAAATAGAAATTGACAATGTTCTAATTTTTATGTGTTTCGTATACCTTTATTGTCAAGATTATCCATTTATAAACAATGGAAAAGGGATGAATTTGGGAGAACACATATTTCAAGTGGACAATGAAAGCTGTATTATAGTTCTTTTTTGTCTTGCTTTATTGAAATATGTTTGACATACAATGTTGTGGTAGATTTCAGGTGTATAATATGATGATTTGCTGTATCTATATATTACAAAATAATTGCCACAATAAGGTTTCACACAGTCATCTCACACAGTAACCATTTTGTGAGTGTATGATGAAAACTTTTAATATCTATTCTCCATGACTTTTAAGTATACAAATTTTGTTAATTATAGTCACTAGACTATAGTATTAACTACAATATTATATTGTATTTTGTATTGATTGTATTTTGTATTTGTATATTGTATTAATACAATATAGTATTAACTACAATACTAAATATAGTATTAACTACAATATTGTAGTATTAACTACAATAACTGTACTATACAATTGCATAAGTATATATAACTATACTATTAACTGTAGTATAATGTACATCATGCTGTATATTAGATACCCAGAGCTATTATTCATGTTATAACTGAGAATCTATACCCTTTGACCACTGTCATCCATTTTTCCCACCCTCCCACCTCTGGAAACTACCAATCTACTCTGTATTTATGAGTTTGTTTGTTTGTTTAGATTCTATATATAAATGAGATCACTCAGTGTTTTTCTTTGACTTATTTCAGTTAGTATAATGCCCTCAAGTTTTATACAATGTGTTGGAAATGAAATGTGTTGGAAATGAAATGTGTTGGAAATGAAATTTCATTTCATTTCCTTTACTTGTTCATCTGTCAGTGGAGACTTAGGTTGTTGCCATGTCTTAGTTATAAATAATGATGCAGTGAACATAGGGGTGCAGATGTTTCTTCAAGATTAGTGATTTTATTTCCTTTAGATATATACTTGAAGTGGAATTGCTGGATCATATGGTAGTCCCAATTTTAATTTTTTGAAGAACCTCCATGCTATTTTACATAATAGATGTACCAGTGTACATTCCCATCAACAATGTACGAGGGTTCCCTTTTCTCCACATCTTCACCAGCATTTGTTATCTCTTGTATTTTTTATAATACCCATTCTAACAAGTGTAGGAGATATATTGCTGTGGTTTTGGGGGTTTTTTTTTGTTCATTTTGTTTTTCAAACTATGGTTTTGATTTGCATTTCCTGATGATTAGTGATGTTGAACACCTTTTAATGTGCCTATTAGCCATTTGCATATTTTGTTGGGAAAAAATTCAATTCAGGTCATTTGCATCTTAGTAAGTTGGATTATTTATTTTTCTTCTATTGAGCTGTATAAGTTTCTTACATATTTTGGATATTAATTCCTTATCGAATACATGGTTTGCAGATGTTTTTTCCCCATTCCATAGTTTGCCTTTTTATTCTTTTGCTGTGCAGAAGCTTTTTAGTTTGATGTAGTCACAACTTGTTTACTTCTTGCCTTTGTTGCTTGTGCTTTGAGTGTCAAATCCATAAAATCATTGCAAATTCCAATGTCAAAGAGCTTTTTTCCCTGTTTTTTTTCCCAAGGGTATTATGGTTTCAGGTCTTACCTTTAAGTCTTTAGTCAATTTTGAATTAATTTCTGTGAGTGGTATAAGTAAGATAGGGTTTCAGTTTCTTTTTTTTATATTAATACCCAGTTTTCCCAGCATCATTTATTGAACAGACTATCTTTTCTCCATTGAGTACTCTTGGCTCCCTTGTCAAATATATGTATTGACAATATAAGTGGGGGCTTATTTCTGGGCTCTCCATTCTGTTCTGTTGGTCTATGTGTGTTTTTATGCCAGAAAAATACTATTTTGATTACTATAGCTTTGTAGTATAGTTTAAAATGGTGTTCCCATATTATCTAGGCCATATTCAAATTTGACCAATTGTCCCAATATTGTTTCTTATATTTATTTTCATTTCTTGGTTGAAGTTTCAATCCCAGATGATGCATTGCATTTAGTTGTTGTGTCTCTTCAGTTTTCTTTAATCTGGAACAGTTCAGTCTTTTTTTTTTTCCTTTCATAACTATTGGCAATTTTTAAAAAATATAGGACAACTAGTTTGTATATTGTCCTTCAGTTTAAGTTTGTGTGCCTTTTCTTCACTATTATATTTGGATTATGCATTTTGGCAGGAATACCAGAGAAGTAATGTTGTATTATTCTCAGGGCACAGATCAGTGGCACATGATGCTGATTTGACCCCTTAGAAGTGATGTTAATCTTGATTACTTGGTCAAAATGATGTTTGCAAGATAAATCCACTCTAAAGTTACCATTTTCCTCTTTTTTAAAAAAATTTGAGAGAGAGAACATGAGCATGTGAGTGGGGGAGAGAGGCAAAGGAAGAAAGAGAGAGGATCTTAAGCAGGGCTCAATCCCACGATCCAGGGATCATGACCTGAGTAGAAATCAAGATTCGGATGCTCAACCAACTGAACCACAGAGGTGCCCCAGCATTTTCCTGTTTGTAGTTAATAATTTTGCTGGGAATACTTTGAAACTGTGTAAACATTTTGTTCCTCATCAAACTAAAGTCCACTGGCTTTAATATCCATTGATAATTCTTGACTGAATTAGTATGATGGCTGCAAGATGGGAATTTTTAAACTCCATCATTTTTACTATGTTTATAAATTTGTATTCTATTTTAAGGAAGAGTTTTATTCTCTGTTTGTTTACTTATTGACCTTATTTTGGACACCTTCATTTTTACTTTATTTCATGAATATCTTATTGCTACCATTATTTATTTTAATGTTCAAATTATCCCAGACTTAACCAATGACAGCCCATTCAAGCTGGCTCCTCTGTCCATTTGATGTGCTCCCATCATTCTGATACATACTTTGACATCAGCATTTTCTTACTTCCTTACTTTTAGGCTTGTCTTTTATTCCCTGTCTCATTGAGAGGGAGGTGGTATTTAGGAACCAAAACATCGGTACGTGTTTTTTGTTGTTGTTGTTGTTTAACATGTTATTCTTGGAGAAGATGGCAGCGTAGGAGGACGCTGGGCTCACCGTGCGTCCTGCTGATCACTTAGATTCCACCTACACCTGCCTAACTAACCCAGAAAACCACCAGAAGACTAGCAGAATGGAGTTTCTGGAGCCAAGCGCAGATGAGAACCCACGGAAGAGGGTAGGAAGGGTGGAGAGGCGGTGCTTGCTGCACGGACTGGCGGGAGGGAGCTGGGGCAGAGGGGCAGCCTGCCGG